ACAGGAACTTTGATTGCGGTAGAATTTTTATTTTGTATAAACTTGACTTCCGTTTTGCACCGATTTTGCCGCTTGTGCTTACGGCTCAAGGATGAGAAACAGACAGGCTGCCATGCCACTGTACATACAGGCTTGCCTATATTAGTTCTAAACACCACTTCTAGTGTTTTCATTAATTATCAAAATTCGACTGTGTTGCTCTCCACGGGCGGGCCGACAATGCCATACAAACTGCGTATGTTAAGACATAGACGATTTCAGGCTCCCGTCCTCTTCCAGTAGCTTCTTGATCGATTTATTGTTTGTATCTTTAAAATTTCTGTAACGCTTAAAATGATTTTTGATCTTTCTGAAGTGAAAATCATATACGCTAACGTTTTAGGAGGACAGCAGTCCACTGCCGGCACTACGTTGGCAATCGATTCGCACGGCTGATGAATGTGCCAATAAAAACTGTGGCGCCGAATTTGCGACTCGTGGTGAGCGTCGTTTGCACTGCTATAGATGCGGGAAAATTTACTGCCGTCGTTGTATGCTACTAACATCGGATGGTGGCGAACGGATTTGCGTTATTTGCTCCAAATTTGCTCAGCAAAACCGATCATAGTTGTAGTAAGATATTTCGTGTACTTTATCGTGTTCAGTATCGTTTGATTTTACGGTGCTGCGTGAAATCTTGAAACACACGTTAAATCTTGTGATGCTGTACAACGCTGAGCAAGTGAAGTTCTTCGTTTCCTGAAGGGCACTCTTCTCCGGAGACATACCAATTCACTAATCTGCTCTAATCACTAGTTTGGTAATTTAAGGTTGTTGTGGTTGCATCTGTCTGCCCATGTCTAACCAACTTTTTTTCAAAACTTGGTTGCTTCATTTAATTTTTTTTTATATTGATTTTTATTAGTATCACGATTTTTCACTATTTTCTCTTTGCGTTAACCAGACTTATATGACAGAATTCTTATCAGATGAGGAGGATTAAGCCGTTTTTGACCAGTGATTATGCCAGGTGTTATTCTCATTAGTCGTTGAATCATATCTGATTATTAATGTCATTTTTCGTCGTTTTAGCTTCACTCTTCTCTAGTTTTAGTAATAATGGTCATATCACGTCAATTGTTCTGAGAGTTTTAAGGTAGAAAAATCAAACTAAGTGGATGAGGCATCATTACTGATATATGTGAGAAGTGCACAGAACTTTCACTGTAGGCATCTCATCCTAATTTGTATGCTTAAATAGCTCTAAAGTATTTTAAAAGTTTGTTTCCAAATGCTTTTATAAGAAGCCATCAAGTTCGGCAAAAGTGCTGGCGGTTGGACATAGCAGTGCCAATAATCGGCATTCTTACAGTTCTCTTTTATGCCATCCGGATGGTCCCTGTTTCTTTCTCTTCGTTTTTATTGTTTTTTAAAACCATCCTCTTTCTACTTTCAAAAATTTTAACCCGTTTTTCATAAAATATTTATTTTATTTATTTTATCGATACCACAACCTTCGTGCTGACGAGGTCCAGTTGTGGTGCCTGAGAGGAATGTAAATGATTGAATGAA